CCATGCTGATTTCTTCAATTGTTGGTGGGCCAACATTGATTGGGAGGTCCGTGGGTGCTGCTTCGATGTTGGGTGGGTTCAGTGGGGCTGGTCGATTCAAGAGTTCTTTGAAGTGTTCTACCCACCTGTTTCGCTGTTTTTCAGTGTTGGTGATTACCTCGCCTTCTTTGCTTTTCACTGGTCGTTCTGGTTTGCGGCGATTTCCAGAGAGTTTCTTTGTCGTGTCATACAGTTCTCTCATGTTTCCTCCTCTTTCAGCCTTTTCCGCCGTCGTTGCTAAATCTTCCACATATTTACGTTTGTCGGTTCTGATGCTCCTCTTCACTTGTTTGTTTACTTCTGTGTATTCAACTTGTGCCTTGGCTTTTTCTGCTCTTGTTCGGCTGGTATTGATCGCTGCCTTCTTCTTCCTCCTTTCTTGAATCTTATCCAGTGTATCAACAGTGATCCATTCCTTGTGATGGTGCTTCTTGTGACCCAGGACCTCATGACATGTTGAAGTGATTGCCTCTTTGATTCCCTTCCAGTTGCTCTCCACAGTAGTTCCTTCTCCATTGAGTAGATCATGAAAGGCCTGGAACTTGTTGCTGAGGACTATCTTGAATTTGTTGAGTTTGTCAGTATCCTGAAGAAAGGCCGTATTGAACTTTTGTGATATTGTCCGCCCCGTTGTCCAGTGCTTCTTGAGTTTCAATTTCATCTTGGCGACCAGCAAGTGATGATCTGATGCTATATCAGCTCCTCTGTTGGTTCTCACGTCCTCTATAGTCCTGCTGAACGTTTTGTTGATGCAAATATGGTCGATTTGGTTTTGTGTAGAGTGATCCGGTGAAGTTCATGTGGTTTTGTGTATGCGTTTATGTGGGAATATGGTGCCGCCTATGACCAGCTTATTGAAGACACATAGATTTGCAAATCTCTCACCATTTTCGTTTCTTTCTCCCAGTCCGTGTCGTCCCATGATGTCTTCATATCCAGTGTTGTCCGTTCCAACCTTGGCGTTGAAATCTCCCATCAGAATGGTCAGGTCCTTTGTTGGGCACTTCTCGATGATTGACTGCAGCCTATTGTAGAATTGATCTTTAGCGTCTTCATTGTAGTCGTTGGTAGGCTCATAGCATTGGATGATGTTCATTGAAATGCCCTCTTTCTTTGTTTTGAACGAAGCTTTGATGATCCTTGGTCCATGAGATTCCCATACTATAAGCGCATTTTGCGCTTGTTTGGATAGCATCAATTCAACTCCTTGTGTATGTGGTGCATTTTCTTCTTCATGACCGGAGTATAACAGGAGCTCTCCTGAAATTAGTCGTTGTCGTCCAACTTGCGTCCAATGTGTTTCACTGATCCCAAGTACCTCTAGGTTGTATCTTCTCATTTCTGCAGCAGTTTGGAAGGCTCTCCCGGTGTCTCACATTGTACGAACATTCCATGTACCTAAATAAATGGTCGCTCTGGTTGTCAGAAGGGGCATCGGCCTCGTAACTTCCGAAGGAATTCGGCTTTCATCATGAGGCGTCATAATTCTTCTAAATGAAGACCTTCTGACTCCCAGGGCAGAGTTTAAAAGGTTTGAATAATTTTTTCTGGTTAGCGTTTTTTTAGCGAGTTAGTTTTCTACGGGATGGGGACGCTAACCCTATGCCCAACCCTCCTCCTTTATCCGGGCCTGGGACCGGCAGTAGCCCCCAAAGGGACTCCAGGCGGAGTGTCATATTGTTGGCTGATATTTCCCTCTCTTTCAGCTTTTTCGCCGTCCTTACTAGTTCTTCCACGTATTTCTGCATGTCGGTTTTAATGCTCTTCTTCACTTGCTTGTGTGCTTCTGTATACTCAGATTCTGCTTGGACTTTCTCTGTTCATGTTCAGCTGTTGGCAATTGTTGTCTTCTTGTTCTTCCTCTTTTTGATCTTGTCCAGTGTTTCTATAGAGAACCATTCCTTATGGTGTTGCTTGTTGTGGCCCAGAACCTCCTGACACGTTGAAGTTAATGCTTCTTTGATACCTTTCCGGTTGTCCTCCATAGTAGTTTCTTCTTCCTTCAGTAGATGCTGTAAGGCTTGAAACCTGTTGTTGAGAACTATCATGAATTCATTGAAATTGTCAGTATCTCGAAGGAAAGCTGTATTGAACCCTGGTAGTGCTGTTTGTCCAGTTGTGAACCGTTACAAGTTTCTCTATTCACTGCGGAAAAGGCATTCAAGAGAACCTAAGAAAAATATGAGGACAGTGCACAGAAACTCGAAGAAAGGTGTGCAGTGGAAATAAAAAACAACATTTAGTGAGGATTTGTCAACTCTTCTGGTGAAATTTTGAGGAGGTGTGAGTTTTGAGCATACCTCAAAAACCCACAGTTCTTTTGTGATGGATGAAAGACTTGAGTAGGACGCTAGTTGTTTTTAATAATTTCGGACAATTGGAGGCCAATCAACAGCACAAAGACTGTTGAATAGATGTTTCTTATTCAATAAATTTTTCTTCACTGGTTTTTCTTAGATTATGGTGGTGATACCACCACCTTGTTCAGAAGCTAATAACCCATCTTTTACATTCGCCTGTATAGGTTATATGATCTGTCGAATTGTTGGAAACATTATGTATATTTACTTCTGCGTGTTTATTTCTGAGCGATACACATTGGGACGACTTACATTTTAGATACTAGCTCAGTTTGCCCACACTGAGGAGGCATTACGAGGAGAAGTGATGAAAATTCAGAATTCAGAAGTTCTCACTGTAGCGTAAGACATATTAGTAGGAGTTCGGATAAAAAACTGAAGTGAATCATTCTTTAGGGCTAGTGGACAGTCGTTGAAGCCTGGTTAAATGAATTATCATATCAAAACTTTCTCACTTTCATGGTAGATAACTAAAAATTGAAAAGTTCATCGAATGTCGTTGGGGTCAAGGATGAATAACAAGAATTAATCAATTGCAAGAAATGGACTGTGCCATGCTGCGTTGTTTGTATAGCAATCTAATTAAAGATGGCTTAGAGCTAGCCGATAACCTACTATTGGGATCAAAACATTATTTATTTGTCTTCCTATCTTGTGTGGGGGTTACATTCTTATTATTCTGAACTGGATAGTGAAAGGTTTGTATGTTTAAACCAGTACGTCACGCCCCAGTTGTGCTAGGCATTGTTTGATAAACAAGCACAATAACCGTCTTCAGGTCCTCTAAATCTTTATAAGGCGACGAGTGAATTGAAGTTCGACAGTTTTGCTTTGTATTTTTCTGGTCTTATCAATACACACATTCAGTCATTTTAAGCTTTTCGTATACAATCGTCAAGGTAGCCAGAGGACATAGATACCGGTGGAACGTAATTCAGGTTAGGTGTTAAGCACTAGTTGTCACTTCGACGTAAGTTATGAGGTCACATCATTTATACCCAGCTCGAGTAGATTTCAACCGTCCATATAGACCACTTGCATTGCTAATTTACAACCCCTCCTAAACATCTGTTGGGCGAACCCTGAGATTGCTATTAAGCAGTGAATAGTTACAGACGTTTCTGAACCACTTAAGAAGGATATTGAACGACCGATCGTGCTCGCACCAAACAAATTACTGCTGATTTACGAATAACTTTTATCTGAAAAAGCTCATGATTATTAAGCTGCCCTTCATGACAGGAAATAGAAGATAGCATAGGTATCCCTTTTATTCTGGAAAAGATGATTGCAAAAATATGTAAATATAATTTACTCCAGGCACAGTTAGTTAAAAAATACGAGAATTATCAGCCAGTGAACTTAGTTTCACTAGACGATGTCGACTATCTGGGACGTTTATGGCTGAGTATTATGTTCAGGCAGATGAAATGTATCCCAGATAGATGAGCCGAAGTAATGCATTTATATACTGAGATGAAACGAGTTACTGGAGGTATGAGGGACTCATATTAGCCCAAAGAAGTCAATTGTCTACCTCCATCACTTACAGATTAGGGATATGGGAAGTATGCTCGACGTAAAACTCCAAATGCTTTGGATGGAAAAGAAAATTATTATCAGAAGGGGTTTGTGGAGATTTTAGAAATTTTCACAGATTGAAATCATGAGTCGGTTGAAGCTAGACCACCATGGAAAACCTGGAAGCGCTGGACGGCCGTTTCGTCCTAGTATGGGACTCATCAGCAGTGCGCGTCCACGACCTCGCCCGCTGCGCAAACGGCGTGGCACAACTTCATGGATTGGTTGAAGTTAGACATTAACACCGTTGGATGCCGGCTCAGTGGTCTAATGGTCAAGTGCTCGCGCGCGAAGCCAGTGGGTCCTGGGTTCGAATCCCACGGGCGCGGGTTCGTGGATGCGCACTGCTGAGGAATCTCATACTGGAACGAAACGGCCGTCCAGTGCTTCCAGGTTTTCCATGGTGGTCTAGCTTCAACCGACTCATGATTTCAATCTGTGAAAAAGAAAATTACACAACGAAAAGGATAAACAGATGTTATCAAAAAAAGTCCATACGTGTATACATATTTACGAAGAAAGTGTTTCTCTTGTATGTGTGTGTTGTGTGTTTTTTGTTGTGTTTAATGTTGTTTTTATGTTGTTTTTAATGTTGTTTTTAATGTGTATAAATAATGTATAATCATAATAATAGTGTTTTTAATAATAACGGTAATTAAATTGATAGTTCACCGAAAAATGTAAATACACGTAAAAATCGTGTAAACAATTAGTGATAAGCTGAACGAGTCCAACGAAGTTGAATATCGTTACACAATTAATAATAAACGTCACCATACACTACATAACTACCTACCTCTCATATTCAACCCAACCGTGATGTGAACTGTTCTTATTTTAGTTGCGTTTAGATCATTACAACGTCTCTTCATAATAGCAACATAAATTATGATATACTTTGCAAATGTCTTAGTATTACAAAGGCAACCGAACTTTTCAGCACATTAAAAAATGTATAAGAGTTTTGGTGATCCGAAGGGCGCAAGTATGAAGAAATCACTGACTTCTACTAGCTCGTCATGACAATATTGGATAGCACATATCAATTTCAGTATGCGGGCAGTTAAAGATTACGCTATCGGCGCGTAAATTGTAGTATGCTGAAATGAAAACACAAAAGTTGGCGTCACATCGGGAGTCTACTAACAAGTCGAAGGAAAGAATAAAAAACAAGAAACGTCTCGCGACAGGATTAGATAATGTCGCTAGTAGCAATAGTACATGTCATACAGTCGTAACTTCGTCCAATCGCCACGACCCTTTGGCGCACATCATTCGTCTTTCAAGTAATCTCAAAGTACCTCGTTCTCCAAAGCGCCATTTATGCGACATGATCCACGTTGAGCACTACGAAAATGGTGGTGGTTATGCTTTGCATTCTTATGCTGATGAGTTAGCTCACCTTACGGCGGATGAGTTGGCTTTGTTGGCTCGAAAATATTTCAAGATATTATTTACCGAAAGACGAAAAAGAGGCATCCGTGTTCCTTTTTCCCATTACTGCATAGGTGTTGTCCATGGAGCTGCGAGAAGGATGCCGGAACTGTTGTCATATTTGTCATCTGCCTATCCTAATCTCAACGTCTCGACAAATCCCCTAGAACAGAAAAACGCAACGGAAACTTTATCTCTTTCACAGTATGTAAAAAACGTTCAGAAAACTTACGCAAACGGCATCTATCGGTTTGGGCCACTGCATGCATTGAGTATTGTTGGTGTTAAAGGTGAGGAACGTGGTTTTTTTGACAAGAGTCTGATTGAGATGATTGAAAAAGACCCATTCCTAAAACTTGTAACACCATGGGGTGTCTTATCAAGTTTAAGTGGGATGGACCCTCGAGAAAGTAATGATGGGCCTATTCTGTGGTCTCGTCATGGAGAACAAACTATTCCTTTATTTCCAACTACCATGCGTGGCAGGAGACGGTGAGTATTTGTTCTGAAATATTTTTGTACATATGTGTATGTATGCATTACTAAATTAGTCATACAAACATAGTGATTACCAATTATTTGGGATTGATAGTAAATTATCATGGCTTTTAATTCACGTGGCTAGTTTTCAGTCGCTGATTAGTTCAAGGTGACTGATCAATCTTCACCTCGCAGGAGAAGCTTTCATATTTGCAGTGTTAAAGGCCTGAAAGCTCATGATTCTTCTCAGTTAATTTAAATACACAGTAAATTTGGTCCGTGAATGTAAATTTACAACATAGTAGAGAAATACACTTCATTACATTCACTAGTTTTGCCTAGTTCATAAGGTCCCAGTACATGTAAAAATGCTGAACGCTTATCAGTGGTATTTTGAGGATTATGGATTGCGTTACCGCTCTCTTAAGTATCAGACTCAAACAAGTTGGACAATATTATCCATGTTTAAAAACAAGGGGATCGGACAACTTTGCCTTATATTGTCGTCTCGAGGTAATGTTTATTTGACTGGAAACTCAATTTCGTCACAATACTGATGAGGTCTTTGTGATGGACTTCAAAAATGATTGTTTCACTCTACTGTAGCTTATTAAATTTTCAGGCGAACAACAATAACCAATACTAACTTCGGGGAGATAACAGCATCCACTGTAGTTAAACATTATTGGTTACTCTCAGCACTCCTAATATCGCGAAAATTCACCCTTTTGGTTATCTTCATCTCTTCCTGTTTCTAATCCAGTGATTTTGTTTTCACAGGACTCCCAGTGCTGGGGTCTGTGCTACTGTCGTAACCAGTGGTTGGATGACATGGCTCAGAATCGATCACAATGACGTAGGTGTATACACTCCTTGTCTTCCCTTGAACCGCGAGATGAAAATTACTTTATTACTTTTTATGAACTAATTCTTTCTCTCTGTATCATATCCTTATATGAAATCCTTTTTTAACTAACATTACAGTAACTGTTTCTATGAATTTGGTGTTCATCTAGTTGTGCTAATGAAGTATGACAACCTGGACCGATGAATATATGTGCCTAGTCCTACTTTGTAGATAACTGACTGACTGACTTTATATAAGTTAACTAGAATTTATGACAAACAGGTGTGATTAACTATCAAAGTTTCTACAATGAAGTGGGAGTAGAAGACAGACATCAGCTGAAAGTATTTGGTTTTGAGTGTTTAGGATTTCAAAATGTATCTCATCTATTTAATATAATCAGCTCGAATGTCACTTCATAAACTTGTGTCGGATTTTGTTTATTTGGCAGTGTTATCAATGGTTGTATTACAGACGTGGTTATTGGTCGCCGCGCACTTGGTGGGCGTCAGATAGCGGTTCATGACAGGACTAATTGCCATGCTGACCACGCAGACGATGGGCTGTCTCGTCATACTACAGCAGCTGTAGGTTTACTAAAGGCGGTGTATCCCCATCGATCTGGAGAGGAATCAGAATTGCCCTATTCATCTTCCTGTCCCCTTCATTTCGAGGATGCTAATGGTGATTTAAATTCTAACACAAATCCATACGCATACAAACTAAACCAACCTGCTAGAATAGTCAAAGATGTGGTTGTATTTGATCCACGTCATTATGTTGATCTGATTGAACGATTACGCCTAGATATTATGGAACCTCCCGCAAGCCAGGTTTGTTTTTTTTCTTATTTTACATAACAAACCAATTAATTATTACATTACACTCCGGTTTCTGCTTTTCCTAAAGGGATCACCAACTTTTAGGATAGAAGTGACTTCATAACTAAGTTCGCTGGTGGAAAAAGTAAGACTGGGTAAATACGTATTCCTCACGCGACAGTAAAAGCAACTGGAGTTCTAGTTATTAAATTCATATCCAATAATTCCGTATAATCCACAAAGCCCACATGGGCGAATAAAGGTTGAATAACGAAGTATTTATTTATTAAAAATACAAAATATACCTAGTTAATGTTACTTCTGAATGAAGAGTAGTCTTGAAGTAAAAAGATTCTTTTGAGGTATACACTTCAACAGTTACTAAAGAACATACTTGAAAATGATAATGTAGATAGTCTTAATAGAATGCATATCACATTACTAACGATATCGTTCTTGCTGTGTTGTGATGCTGTCAAGCTACTGTACACTTTCCCCTATTTGTTTGGCACAAACTTAAATCAGTGTTGGTACTGATTCATTTAGAATGACTGATAGTTTGCTCCCCAAATGCCCTGGTATGGCCGAGAGTGGGGTGGGTTCGCCCTCCCTCTCGAAATTCTCTCACACGGCCACGCGTATACAGCCTCTGCCAGGGAAGTCCTACTCATTGCCTTCTCGTGGAGGGGGTGTTGTTTACGGAAATGAGAGGACGAAAAGCGAATGTCCGGCGCTTTAACCGGATCCCAAACCAATGGTGCACATGGGCTCCAGTATCCTTCGGGAACAAACGGCGTATGAACCTATCGTTGGTCATCGGCTACCATGGCTATGCATCTCCTCACGATGCTCCACTGCCTTGTGGATCAGACCTTTAGGTCAAAGGCTCGGGGTGTGGCCCCCTAAGAAAACTACATGCTTCGGTTTGGGCACCCGGGCAGTATCACAGCCCACACACAAATATGGTGTGGCGCATATATATTTGGTGCCCTCTTGTACCGATGTTTATGTGTTGAAATAAATTAATAATAAATACTCATAGTTTCCGTCGATTATCCACAAGAACCAGTGAGTCGTTAAATAGTTTTATGTATTTGGTAGTAACCTCTGTATTTATTGTTCGCGTTTGTCGTATTATCTATTATCAAGGAATATTCGTAAACCAGAAGACTCAAACTGACAATTTAGTCTATTCGGATGACGTTAAGTAATCATCTTTGATTTTGATGCTAAACGACATCAATTTCAACCTCTTCAAGACGACGAGTCTTAGTCAATACGAAATGTTTATCCATGGTTCCTTACAGACTACTCTTTGATAAGACATTAAACGTTAGAGTATTTGATGCCTGGTCCCATTTAATGTATTTGTCACACGGTAAAACTTGTTCGGGTGGATTCAACCACAATCAACTAGCAGTATAGCACAATCTTATGTTTGTTATCAATATTTCTAGAATCGGTTTAAAGCACTTAGTTGTCACTGGGAATTGTTTTCTTGTGCTAGACCAGAAAATCAAGTTCAATCTAGTTAATACTGAGGAATGTGACTAGACTTCAAATAATCAGTTAATGTCGATTCAGGTTTCAATAAATTTCAGAATAATACAATATAGCCATCGATTCATGCTTAATTTTCTAATGGTTTTTCATATAATTATGATTTATTTTAAAAGCAATCGAGGGAATTCCAACATTATTTAATAAATTAGTTCTCTCAGTAATCCTAGTGTTTACCTCATCAATTTATCTTAACAGTGTGGGTCATTTTGGGCGGATGATGGTGAGCTTAATCAGCTACATTCCGAAGGCTTTCGTTATGTTCGCCTGCCTCTTCGTGATAATGATATATATTTTATCCCACGAAATGTTATACATCAATTCAAATCTGTTTCAGCTGTATCAAGTATTGCATGGCATGTTCGTTTAAAAAATTATTACGACCAATTACAACATGATGATACAAGCGGGATGTCTGAACATAATGATTCTGATCTAAAAAATCTCGATCATGCCTATCAGTCGTCTGAATCCATCAAGTCAACATCTGAGTTATCTGTCCCTAACGATATAAACACTAACAGTAACTTAAAGAAGTCACCTGAAAGTATCCATTCATCAGCTAATGAGTTAGCTAGTTGAAACCCACTCATAATTTCTTGTATTTTGTTTTAATTGTTGATATCTCATTGTTTTTTTGTAAAATAAGTCTAATATGGTTCGACTTTATATTCATCGTTTGTTTTATTCTTAATGTTGCTGTTAAATAGCTGTGTATGCGTGTGTCACTTTTCACTGAACTCATTTGCAATATAATATCTTCTTTACATGCCATTTAATTCTAGTTGTTTCTCATTACTGTGATTCCATATCTGCTAGTTTATTTCCTTTTCTACTTGGATAAGTGTATCCAGGCACCTAAAATCCTTTTGTAATAATATGAAATTGTTATTTATTTCATGGGTTCCAGTTTGTTTTGTTTGCCTTATCATGTTTAATTTTTCTTATTCTGATTTTTGTTTCTCTCTTATGTTTCTACTTTCTGTTTGTTTTAAAATGTGAAGTAATTTTACAAGTTTTCATCACGAGTTGCATAAGTTGATGTAAAATAATCCATTCCTAGCTTCTTTCTTTACTTCCTGTTTTCTTTTTCGGCAGGTAATAGGTGTTATTTTTAAACCAAAAGTTCAGGGCCTCGGTTTTGTGTTTTTCTCGATTGGGGTAATTAGCGAAGTTACTTATACTTCCTTCAAAATTTAATCCCACACAGTCCTTTGTTGGAATATGAGAAACTAAAGCTCATCGTCATGTTGACATTATTTCTTGCATGACCAGGTTTTGTAAAAAAAATATATGATACTGTAGTTCTTAGCACTAATCAAAGCTTACAAATCAAAGGATTCTGTGTATTCGCTAAGATAGGCATTTTAAAGTGCAGTACTCGAGGGGTTGAAAGCTCTCTCGAACAGACCATTTTTTCTCTTGATATCACGCGAGTTATGGAACATGATCGCATTCTATCCTCAATATGGATTATAACGGCTGAAGCATCACACTAATCATTTGTGATCGATCTGTGTAAGACAGCGCGTGTATTAGTAATAGGACTAGGTTTTATTTATTATGTGTTTGACTTTCAATTGCTCTATTTTGTCGAGGCGATACTAGATGTTATCAGTCACTAGCAAATTTTTAAGCATCTACTGAATATTAGCACTTTTGAATAAATTTTCATCTTAAAGTGTAGTTAGAAGGCTGATATCAAGTGGAAGTTTTGTTTCAACCCGTTCTGGTGTAGCCTATTTTGATGGCCAGGATAGGGAATGGTGTTGTAAAAGTCCCTTTTGGATACAAAGGTCCATTTTGCAAAAATCAGTTCCGATACCTTCTGAAGCATCTAAATGTAGTTCGCATAAATCATACCTTTTATTTGATGGGGTGTGTATTTGTTCACATTGTAGTTTTAATTTAAAGGAGAGATTTCTTTTTTGTCACACTTATTTAATTACATTGGATTTATGAATAATCATGCATCTCAGTAATCTACTGTGTTACATGTTTTTTCATGTGATTATTAGAGATATCGGACGTAACAGGCTAAAATAGATGACTAATTGCTTGTAATGTCAGTACCCAAACTACATCCACAGATTTTATTTATTTTAGATGAGATATATAACCTAACTAATCAGATGTTAACGAAAACTATGTTTGTATAAACTATTTAAGGAATACAGAAATGAGTTTACTGACTTTCGGTACATTGACCACTGATGAATAATGATTTTTAATGGTCATACGTATTACGAATAAACAAGGACTGGTTCACTTTTGATAGGTAGGCTCCACTTATGAATGTTATGTATATATATGGATGTCAGCACTTTTATGATGAGATAGGGATAAGGTTGCAAAACAACTGTAATAAATACGAGGAAAGATATTCATTATGCGAAACTATCAGGATGGCCAAATTTCTTTTACGAAGTTGACAACTGTATATTGGAGTATTGATGATTTACGAGTACTAGAGAATACCGTCAGCTTCATCCACATTGAACTGTAGTTTTAGTAAGGAGATGAAGTATCACGAAGAATAAGCAGCCCTAGGTTGTTTATACTGAGTTAAAAATAATGGTCATGTTCTGAAATACGACACTTATAGACATCACTTTCCAAAGAGTTGGTTACTTTAATAAATACGTAGAGGTTATTTTTAGATAATAAGGTTAAGCACCAAAACCCAGTGCACCTCTTGTATATCATATCCAATTATTTAAGTAAAATAACTTCATAATCTAATTTTAACTACGAACAAATATACTGACCTATCGAAACCAATATTTTCTACTTTTGTGTGCAACCAGTCGGATATATTTAAAATAAACGGTACAAATCGGTTCATGAACGGTCCTATTTTAAAATGAAATTATTTTATCAGCTTCGAAAATTACTCAAAACAGTTCCTTAGTTTTAAAATGAAACTGTTTGAAAACCTAAGTATTCATTTTTCTAGATCGACCGTATTTTTAAAGTTCAGGATGATAAAGAACTAATAAATTTCCATTCAACTGGTAATCTTCATGATAAACATGGATGATTTATGAGACGACTGTTCATGGAAGAATGATAGATAAATTATGAGTATACTTGTAATTTAAACGAGTGATCGGGTTATTTGAAAGCTGGGATCTAAGCTTAGTGTCATTATTTCTTCTTTATAAAAGTGTTCAATAATATAAACAAAAGTAGTTAATAATATTCACATATTACGAACAAATGCACTTTTCAGTTTTTATGTATAGAAATGTGATTATTAACACAAACAAGTTTATGAATATAACATCGTTAAGTAACTTTCTATGAGTTATGGTGCTAAAATTTACAGTAAAATCAAAAGTCAGTGAGAGTTAAGTTGTATGGTGTATCTTGAATAGAAAAATAATAAATTAAAATGCCAAAGATAAGTATTAAAAAGTAAATGAAAATCTATCATTTAATAATTCTAGAATACCAAACAGAAAGTAGATCAGTATTCTTCTGAAGTCATCCACTGGTTGCATACATGAATTAATATGGACTTGTGCGACAAGTTATATTGGAATAACTAAAGAAAATATTTTCATCACGTTTTCTGAACATATTACTCGAAATCTATACGTGAAGGGAGAAGAAAATTCACAACCATAATTAATAGATACTGAACAACACAAAGGCCTTCAAACTAATTCACAAATATAGATCAGCTTATTTAATTTTTCTTTGTAAAAGCTGTTCCCAATAACCGTTTCAGACTTGAAAAATTATTTTTTTTGTCTAGTTTCTAAAATTGAAAGATTTAAAATGTTTACTTCTAAATGTATTTCTTCTAGTAACTAGGCTTTTTGTACCCTGCAAGAAACCTGAGAACAAAATAAATTCATTTTGTTCTGGAAATCTTGACATCCTTGTTTCTGTAAAAATCATTATTGGAACCAGATGTATGAAAAAGTCAGATCAATTGGAACAACATCTTTCGATTGTGCTTTAACGGAAAAGGTAAACGTGGAGAGTAATAAATGTAAATTTGAGTAAAGTAATTTAGATCACAAATAGAGTGTATGTACTACTTTATAGTATTAAGTAGCATAACATAATGAGGAATAAAAAATAATTTAACAACGCCTCTTCAAAATCAGCATGACTTGAAGGAGCGCTCCTTCTCATACATCAATTAACAAATGTTAAGCGTGAAAAATTTATGGTTTGATTCCACTGTAACTTTACTAGCAGGCTAACTATTTCAACCGTGATCCATAAAGAGATTAATAGTTAGTTATCCTGTGAGTATGTACAAACCTCACGTCTGTTATATACGTGAAAATTAATGTCTTCTGAAACTTGTTTTTAAAAGTGAGTGGATGTACTCACTCAATTAAATATTTCATTACTTAGTGTTCCTCTGCAAATACAACCATATCTTCAACCTGAAAAATATCTATATTTTGGTTTTACTGTGAATGTGATTGAAACAGTTCGCTAATATTTATCAGAATTCTGAACTAACCAGAATGATTACCGTGTGTAGATAAGAAAGTGAGAAAGTATATTTAAGTTATCGTATTCTGCATAAATTATCGCTCTTTGCTTTGTTTAAATGGCTTCATTGTAAATTATTGTGAAATCATTCAGAAAGATTATACTTTTGGGAAGATATGAAGTGTAGAAGTACTTGAATTTAAAGTAGTTTACAAAATAACTCCGACTGTAAGAAGGTGATAGGCATGAGAAAAGAAAGCTTAGTGTAGGAAGCTATAAAGTATTTTCATAATATATATACATAACCTTTAATCGTCTATTTGAATTGTTCGACCTGTATATACGAGCACTTTTTCCATCATTAATTGGAATGGTCCGGAAAATGATTCTACAATGAAACAAACCACGTCAATATGTTAACCCATGAAATTCACATGTCTAACTAGTTTACAGTGCCACACCAAACAGTACAAAAAACAACATGCCAAGTTCCTGACTGTGTTCATTACCAATAAACTAAGTAACATATTCATTCCAACTTAGATCTTATTTCGTTCGTTCCCAATTGTTGGTTAGCAGGACATGAAGAGAATTTGTGGCATTTTGTCCATTAAATGGTTAAAATGAACCATTCTTTCATTAGTTCATTAATTTCCTTCAAACAACGTATTCCTACTCACACTTTGAGGAAATAAACATTGTCTACATACGACCAATATTTTCAATCCATATAAAAAATCCTGACGTGTCAATTTTGAAACCTGTTTGACATTACTCGTAAGTAGTATGAGTTGCAAAGTACAAAATAATCAAATTTAATTTTAAGCAATAACAGTTAAGACTGTTGGGGATGGAAAATGATACACGTGTAGCGTTTTTCTTTGATCAACTACTAATGGCTTATTAGAAATCATTGACATATCTAAGTAATTATTTTGCTGAAAGTATGAGGTTCATACTGGTTACCTAGCCTAGACAATGATCATTCCCCATTGTTAACTGTTGATTCACAGGGCTCCATAATTCACAAACATGTTTTATGTGTGTTATCATAGTTTGTTCAATGTTATGTCGATCAATCGGAATTCAACCGCAAGGATCTGCTGCACGTTCGCTGGGAGTCGTCGTAACCACAACTGATAAAATATGTTTTTATCTACTTTTCTGTCTCCGATTACGCTTCTCATATAGTTTTTTAGTTGAGATGGAGTCCTATCTCCTATCTGCACTTGACTGAGAAGTTGTTCGATGGCTTGCCGGTCGCTTAATGAGACGGCTTTAATCACTGCCTGTTTTAATGCGTCGTATGGCTTTTCTATGTCTGGCTTGATTAAAATCTCTCGTACATTATCTGCTACTTCATCTGGAAGTAGCGAGCTCGCGTGGCCAAATTTATCTCTCTGTGTATGAACACGATTAGCTACAAAGTAATGTTCAAGTCTGATAAACCAAAGTTGAGGATCTGTGACCTTAAAAGGAGGAATAGTTACATTAATGGACCTCACGGACGGCGTTTGGGAAAGTTCTATTGTATCGTTACTTAAAGACATATTTATAAAGATCAAAAGTACACGAATATAATGCGAATGTCACAGAGAAAAGTGAGTCGATAAAAAC